AATGAATAACAATAAATGAGATACAAAGAAGAATAGAAAATAAAAATAAAAACAAAGAAAGAAGAATCTAATTATTTATATATTCAATTTTATTAAATCATCTTCATAATTATATAATAAAAAATTTTAATGAGAAGATTCAATAACAGTTTTTAAAAGAGAATATTTCTCAGGTAATGAGTTGATAATATCTAATTTATAAACATTAAAGAGTTGATTATATTCTTTATTTATATAATCAAAGGCATTTTTAATTACATCAAATTCGTAAGAATTATTATTAATTAATAATGAATTTAAATTTTTTAATATATTACAAAGAGTAGTAAAATATAAAGTAATTAAATCAATGTTGTTATTATTAAGAATGATATCAATAATTTCTATATTAAATAATAATTGAATAAAATCCCACTCTAAATGATTATTAATTCTATTAATTTTATCAATTAATTTTATAATAATAATATAAATGTTAGAAGTATTATTTATTTTAAACATAAATGAAATATATTGTTTTAATATAATAATTATTTTCTTAATCTTTTCTTCTTCAATAATACTTTTCTCTGAATTTATTAAATCTTTAATTCCTTTAAACAAATTATTAATAAAAAGTATTTGAGAATCTTTCTTTTGTTTATCAATAATATTTTCTATAATTTTTTCAAATAATTTATAATCTATTCCATTTTCACTTGTTTCTTCTTCATAAATTAATGATTTTATTAAATATTTCATTGTTTTATGTTGAATATTTATATTTTGATTTTGAATAAAATTATTTATAAGTAATTCTCCAATTAATTTATCATTTGTTATACAAATAAAATGAACAATTAATTTAATAATTTCTTTATCAAATAATGAAATTGTCCAAATTTTATTTTTAAATTGAAATCCAATATTTTGATTTAATTCAATTTGTTTTTCAAATGGAATAGAATTTACTATAAATTGTTGTTCTTTATTAATTCTTTCATAAATTTGATTTTCATTTAATGAAATAGTAATATTTTTTAATAATTCTTTTATTATTTCATCAACTGTTTTTTGATTAATAATATCATTAAATATTTCTATTGATTTAAATACTTTTTCTTTATATTCATCAAATGGTATAATTCTATATTCCATCCAACATTGTGGAATATAATAAAGAATCATTTTATTAAATATTTCTTTTGAACATTCACAAATTGGAATATAAATATTACTAATAATCATTCTAATAATACTAATACTATTTAATCTACAAATAATAATTGGAAGTATTGTATTTTTATATTTATTTGGAATATTTATCATTTCTATATCTTTCATTATTAATTCTTTTATTGATAATGTTAATCTTTCTATCATTCCTTTTTTACTTTCAATTACTTCTTTTATTGTTGAATTAATTATTCCATTTAAAATTATTTTCCATTCATTTTCAGTTATTTCAGTAGTACAAATAATTTTTGGTATTTTATTTATTTCAATTTTAATAGTACATTCTTCATTTGGAATAGTAATTAAACTTTTAACTGGTAATTCATTTAATTGTAAAGAAATAAGAGAAATTTTTGAATTAATTGAATTTAAAGAAATATTATTTTGTTTAAAGAAGAATGTAATTTCTTGTTTTAACCCAGAAAGATTTAATTTATACATTTCTTTAAGAATTTCAATTAAAGGGAATATCCAAGGGTTATGAATTGTAAAAATAGTTCCTTTAATTCCTTTTAATAAATTAACTAAAAAGAATCCAGCTCCTTCAATTGAATGAGATTTACATTTACTTATAATAAATGATTTCAAATTTAATTGTGTTATTAAAATTGGTTTATTTTGATGTAATGTTAATGTTCCTAACCATTTTCCAATTCCAATACAATGATCAATATGACTTATTTTATTGAAATGATTATGTTGAATTGCAGTAGTACAATATTGAATTTGATATTCAAAATCACAAATTTTTAATAATTTTTTTTGTTGTTCAATAGTAGAATGAATTGCAACAATAAAAATAGCAACTTCATCTTTTAATTCATGTGAAATATCTTTAATAATATCATTTTCATTAAATATCCAATTTATTAAATTTTGAATTGTTTTTGAAATATATTTTTTCATTGGTTCATTAAAATAATTTTCATTTATTAATGATTTTAATATATCCATTTCAGATACTCTTGGTTTATTACATTGTGCATTAATATATGAATATAATTCTGTATTAATTTGATTAATATGTGAATAATTTCTTAATGTTTTAGCAATTCCTCCATTAATAATTCCACTTTTTCTTAATTTTTTAAGAACAATTAAAGAATTATAAAATGTTGGTTTATTAATATCGTCTAATTGATTTATGATAATTCTAATAATATGAATATATATTACTCCTTTTATTATTTTTCTTTTAAGTAATTCTCCTACAACATCTCCAATAATTGAACCTCCTTTAATTGGTGGATGAATCATTCCATCACATAAAAATTGAAGTATTTTACTTACAATATTTTTATTTATTTCATTTTCATTTTTAATTATATTTTCAAATGAATTACAAAATTCATTAATTGTAATTTTATTATTTAATACTTCTTCTAATAAATTTATTTCATTTTCATTTAAATTATTTTGATTTTCAATTTTATTCATTTTAATAAATTCAAATAAAAGAGTATTAATTGGTTTTGAAAGAGTTGAAGTACTAACAATTTGATTTTTTTCTTCTTTATATTTAAGAAACAATGAAATATTTTCTTTCATATTTTCTTTTAATATAAATTGAATTGCATTTATTCCAATATTTGAAGCTAAATCAATCATCATTAATTTATTTGATTCAAATTTTACAATTAATTCTAAATTATTATTATTAATTACTTTACAAATAGAATTAATAATGTTACTTGATTTTTGATATTCTTTAATTAAATATTCAATTGTTTGATTATTATTTTCAATTAAAAATAATAGTAAGTTTTGATTTTCTAATACTTCTTTGATTATTTCTATTCTTCCCCATTCAATATATTTACAAATAACATTTGGATATTTATTACTAATTTCAATTATTATTGAATTCATTTTATTATAATTAATTACATCATTTCCTTTTGATTTCAAATATTCAAAGAAATCATTTGAATTAAATAATTCTTCTATTGAATTAAATTGATTAAATAAAGAAAGAAGTAATAATTTGATAATTTTATTATTCTTTTGATTTGAAAGAATATATGAAATAAATGATAGTAATAAATTAAATGAAATTGTTGTTATTTTACAATTATTTAAATAAGGACAAATAAAATTAATTTCTTGTTCTTTTAATTCATAATTAAATTGACTAATTACAATTGGCCATTCCACTTTCGATAAAAATGTTGAATTAAATCCCAATTTTTTTTTACAAATAATATCAAGACATAAAATACATTCTTCTGTTGTTAAATAATATTCTTTAATAAATTCATTTAATTCTTCAGTATTAAATTCTTCAATTAATTCTCTAATTGGTATAATAATATCATTTTGAGTTAATGTTGATGTTATTGGATTACTCCAATGTAATGCAAAAATTGGAGATGGATGAGAAGATTGAGTAATATTTACTATATAATATGGATCTTCATAGAAATTTTGAAGTAATTCATCTTTAGGAATATCTGTTTCATCAATTGGTAATGAAAGAAATTCACCATGATGAAGTGCAAGAAGATGTTGAAGAAATTGTAATTCATTTTTTTTTAAAGTAAGTTTTGATATATCACAATTAAATTCAATTGAATTTATCGCTTCAAAAAACATTCCTTCAAAAAATGGTGATGAAATTAATTGAGAAATATAACGAGATAATTCTTCATAACACACTTCTGTACTTTTTGTATATTTTGTTGATAATAATAACGATAAATAATAAATTATTCCTTTTCTTCCTACTTTTTTTATAAATTCATTCATTTCTTTTATTCCACTTTTTGAATTTGTTAATTGAATGCTTTCAAAAAGAATTTTAATTTGAAGTAATTCACTAGAAGTCATACAACAATTTTTAAGTTCTTTTTTATTTTTTATTTTACCTTTTTTTTTATATGAAAATATTCAATTTATTCTTTTAGTTTTTTTTTTTAGATTAAATTTTGAAATAAATAACATAAATGGATCAAATTGAAAAGACTCAAGTTTCACTTGGAAATGGATTAAATTTTGGTTGTGATTATTTGGGATATATCGGTGATATGAAAACTTCTCATGCAAATTTTATTATTTCTATTAAAAATGAAAAAAATGAAAAAATTACAATGGATGAATTAATTCGTATTGGCAGAGTTTCAGCAAATACAGGTAAACAAGGAGTATTAATAGATTCATCAGGAAAAGGAATTTCAATTGACTGGAAAATGAGACAAAAAATATTTTAATTAACAAAAAAAACAAAATTATTTCTTTTTAATTTTTAAATAATAAAATAAATAACAAAAAATATTCCACTTAAAATCATTTTCAATCGTGTTTTTGTTTTTTATTCAAATATTTTGGAACGGTTTTTCCAGAAGTAAAAGCAATTGTTCCAAAGTCCAAATTATCTTTTACAACAGGACTTGTCATTGTTGGTCTAACAAATGGTTCAACTTTTTCTTCTTGTTTTTCTTTTTTAGATTGATGTCTTTGTTTATTGTCATTATGCTGTTTAAAATGTTTTTTACTTTCTGGTAATTCAGTCTTATCAACTTTTGTATTTAAATTCTTTGTTTTTCCTTTATGGACTTCATCTATCTTAGCATGTAATTTACGTTTTAATGCAAGAGTTGGATTTTCAATTAATTCTTCTCCAACTTGGTCTTCTTCCATTAATGGTTGAGCAGTTTGTTTAATTTGATCTTTTTTCATAGCCAAAAGAGCTTCATTATATTGAGATATAGTCATTTTTCCTTCAACTGATAATTGTCTTTTAGAAATTTCATTTAAGTCAACAGCTAAGTCATCATGAGCTACTTCAAATTTACGTTTTGTATTTTTACTATCTTCAATTTCTGTGTGATAAAATTCAACTGGTATGTGATCAAACATTTTTCCTATCCATTGTGCTGTCTCTTCAACACTCATCTATTAACTAATCATTTCTATTACATTTTAAAACCCTTTTTTTCTTTAAACCTTTTTTTTTTGTGTTTTTCTTTTTTTTTTTTTATTTATTTTTATCTTTGTTATTGATTGAAAGATTCTTTTGTTTTATTTTTGTTTTTTGTTCATTTCAATTCTGTTTTAAAACACTTCATTATGACTTGTAACTACTTGTTTAGGTAAATCAATTTCTTTTAATTTGATAATTTATTTTATCTTTTATCACATTCTTTTAAAAGTGTTTATGACGATGG